AATTGAAGCCTCTTAAATTTTTATTGTCAACTTGGCAGAAATTGCCATTTTTAGTGCGCTTTTCATCTTCTCTAACGTGCCGTGCCGATGGCGTTAGCGGGGAGCAGCCGAGCTGGGGAAGTAACATTATCTGATCCCATCCGTTATGGGAGAGGCTCGGGTGATGCTGCCAAGATGCAGCGATACGATGCTGTAAAACCCAGCTGGAGAAAGGGGATTAAAAGGAGCAAAATCCAGGAGGAATTTGTCTTTCTCCAAGGGATCAGCCCTTCGAAATATAACTTCCAGTGTGTCCGCCCATGCCTTGGTGCCATGGTGCGGTGCAGGGGTATGGGGGGGATACTGCAGCCTCCCCAAGGCCATGCACAACACAAGGTCCGGAGAGGCGTGTTATAGCACCAGGCTCACCCAAAACAGCCAGGAACAGGGAAAAATTGAGGTGGATCCCTCCAAAGCCAGGAGCAGTGGGAGCTGAAGGGCACTGCCCTACTTGGGGTGGTCCTGCCCTCCCTTGGGACCCGTCTGGAGGGTGACGGCACGGCGTGCCCCAGGCCAGCTCCTGCACAGCTCAGGGTTTTGCCCATTCATGAGAAAACAAACCTAATTCATTAGACTCAGCAATTGCCATGGAAACTGCTCCCCTGCGAGGCTGGAGCATCTCTCGCTGCAAGGCACAACGGGGACCACGGCCGGCTCTCCCTGTGTAAAACGGTGTGAAAACCCCAGAAAACAGCTATGGTCTCGCACGTCCATGTAAACCACTCTAGTTCCTTTCACACTGCATTCGGACACAGCCGCTGCCGTGCTGTACGGAAAGTCACCCAGAGAGGATGTTTTCCACCGTCTTCCATCAAGACACTCTTGTTTTAATTGCAACTGTCCATCATGTGCTGCCTTCTGCTGCACCGCCTCCTGAGTTGCTTTAAGGAGCTCAGTCCCGGCTCCTGTTAAACTTCAGGGGATCTTCGGTCTGAGATTTCAGACAGAAAGCATCTCCCTTTAGGCACAAGTCCACAGCAAAGAACCAGCTTGGCCTACATAACCTAACAACCACGTTTTATGGAGGAAATCTCCTGCTGGCAGTGCCTTTGCAGGATTGCTTTTGCTGACTCAGCACGCGCAACCAATATGCGTGTAAAGTCCCTCTTACAATGCTACTAGTGCAAAGCAGCACGACATCGTTACTGCACTAACGATGCAGTTCCCAAACTGGTAAATGTGTCTTAAAAGTGTCACTCTGCAGGAATCAGAGAGCTCAGCCACTGCAGAAGGAGGAGAAAAACTGATTTTGTTCCTTTTTTTTTAGACTGACAGCTAATTTTAAAGGGAGATTTAATGGGATCACGCACCATCACAGAGCCAGAGTTTGCTTTCGACAGGGGCTTTTGGAAAGCTCTCGGTATAAAGATCCAGGATTTATTGCCCTGACACCAAGACACAAGTCCTTGCTTGCACTAAGCGGCTGCATACCTGGAAAGGCAGGAAATCAGTAAGTAAAGCCCAGTAAATACTCTTATTTCCAGACTGGGATGGGGGGACGAAGGGATAGATTTGAGCATGGCCATAGGGAATAGTAACAGAGCCACAAATAAAGCCATGAGCCTCTAACCCAGCCATGAATAAATCCCCTTCACCCCAAAGCCCGTCTCAAAGACGATGCATGGCTCCCACCATCACGCCAAGGCAAGTCGGCCCAATTCCACAGCTATTTTTTTTATCACTGGGAAAAGTGCTTATAACTAACACAGAGGCTGCTCTGAGCTGGGAGACATAAAACGACCTTCTCTTTATCTTTATTTCTGTTCTTCTCCAGCTGGAGGATCATTTCATTTATGTTTCACGGTGTAAAACACATGGTTTAGGACCCCAATAACTGGCCGGACTCAGTCCTCTGGGTGACGTTCATGGGCTTTTCCACCTTTTGCTCTGACTTATTGAAGGAGCAGCACGTGCCTGCCCCAGATGTGGAGATTTAGTAGGAAAAAAAAAAAGACTAAATCAAAGGTCTGAATAAAAGATGTGCATTCAGGGCTTGAGAAGGTGGGTGATGCCTGGCCGGTCCCTGCAGGGTAATTAGAGAAGGCAGTAGCATGTGTACGCTGTAATGGTTGTAATTAGGTTAAAAAAATGACTTTATGGAGAGGAGTAATTGGGGTGAGCAGCATTGCCCGGGGAGCTGAATGCTGCTCCAGGCTTGAAGAGCCCTCCGGGTCTCCTGGGTAAAGGCATTGCAGCCTGTGGTATAATTTTAAACCAGTTACAGAACCCCTGGCCCTGAGCAGAAACGTGCCCTTCCCTTTCCCAGCACCAAAACTCTGGCAAAACCTGCAGAAGAGGGGACACACTCGAGCTAAGAGTCCCCCCAGATCTCTTTTTCTTGTCATCTTCTACATCTTCCCTGCCTGGAAGGAGGGATTTGGGGAGGGATCGTTTCTTTTCCCTCTCTCTCAGCTGGCTGTCTTTCTGATAGGAAATCTAATTTTTTAATAGAAATAATGAAATAGTTAATGCTGGCAATGGGATGGGGAAGATTTACAGCAGCTGTCTTAAAAGTCTCCACCATGTACGCTATTTCTATCTTAAAACAAAGTCCTTGAGATCCTCGCTGCAGGCTCCAGCTCCCAGCCACGCTCCCAAATCTTGCTGAAGCCAGGATATTTAAGGAAGACAAATCTTTCCAATTACCGCTCGCGCTGCCAGGCGAGTTTGATTCGAGGAGGTGTTGCCAAACTCTTTCAGCATCAGGCGGCTGCACCGCACAACACAATACCCTGCCCAGCGCTGCCTGCCTGCCTGCTAATGGGGCATGCGAAGTGCCATGTAAACGGCTGGCGATGCCCTTCTCGATCGCCAGCCTCGGCATCTCCGCGGTTAGCTTTTCTCCGGAGCTAATGTGGTCTCACTAAGGGGGTGCTGATTCTGTTGGGGATATTTTTCCACAGCTGACAATTTGGTAAACAAAAATCCTGCTCTTTGCTGCTGAGAAAAGAGGAGAGGGCTTTGCTCAAAGGCATGCGCATGCTGGGGATGGAAATGCAAGACCCCAACACGGCACCCTCTGCTCCAACACAGAATCACAGAATCATAGAATAGTTTGGGTTGGAAGGGACCTCTAAAGGTCATCTAGTCCAGCCCCCCTGCCGTGGGCAGGGACATCTTCAACTAGATCAGGTTGCTCAGAGCCCCGTCCAACCTGACCTGGAATGTTTCCAGGGATGGGGCATCCACCACCTCTCTGGGCAACCTGGGCCAGTGTTTCACCACCCTCAGCGTAAAACATTTCTTCCTTGTATCTGGTCTGACATGGGACCCTCTGCTCCAACACTGACTTCCTCCATGACCTTTGGGCAAGTCACTTGTCCTTCCTGGGGTAACCCACCATCTGCGAGCCGCCTGCCAGGTGCTGGCATGGGAAGGGCTCCCGTGTGCAGCCGCTGTGGGGGATAACCAGCTGCTAGCCCGAACCCCAGGGCCGTATCCAGACCCCACTGCTCTGTGCTGCATCTGCCAATGGCAGCTACAGGCATGGGGCTGGCCCCAGCGCCGCTGCCTCAGTGTGTGGAGACCCCCAGGCTGCTTCAGGAGATGCCCCCGCGAGAGAGGATGGATAAGGCATTCAATGCCTAGTAATTACTGCCAACAGTAATTAATCAGTTTTCCATCCTTCCAGATTCTCTACCTCGCAGCATGCCCCACGTAAGCAATGCCGAATGCTGCTGGGTCTCCTGGGACGGCAGAAAGCAGCTGTGGAGCAAGGTCAGGACGTTGGGGGTGCATGGAAGGGCTTGTGTCAAGGGAACGGGCATGAAAAATGCCCACGATGGGCTTCCAAGCCCGTTTCTGCTTTGGACTTCAGAGGCTGCTGTCTCAGCCCCCAAAGCGCCCTTTGCCTTCGTTGTTACTAAGGTGTTACACTCCAAACGAGAGCCCGGCACGCTAATAAAGCTGCTCATTTTCTCCAGCCCACCGGACTTCCCACAAGATATGAACCGACAACAGCGGAACATTTCTCTGCTTTAGCTGAGAAGTTTCCACCTGGCCCACCGGGAACCCACACCGTTCGTTAGCTCCTGGATGATTACACACAAGCGCACGGTAATGAAGGAGGGAAGATCTGCATCCAGGCTCACTGAAATGCAGCATCTTCAGGTGTATTTTGGTACCCGGTGGCCATGGAGAGATGCCTTAACGATATATTTGGTGGTGAATTCCTCACGTTGCTCTGAGCTGAAGTGTAACGACTGCGGCCCTGATCTCCATGGAGGTTTAATCAGAACAAAGCCTCCAACAGCTCGTGTTCGCTTTCCTCAACTTGATTTATGTCTCATTTGAGGGTGGATGCAAGAGCAGGGAGGAAAATGAGAGAGGCAATGAAGCAGGAGGGCTAGCACTGGGGCCAAGCGGGGGGAAAAAAGTATTCTGCTGGCTGGCTTTCTGAATGCCTAACCAGGATTTGGGTCTAATGATGCTACGGCACATCATATCCCTCTGCACCATGATGATGTGCCACCGTCGGGATTCAGGGAGGGTGATGCATCCCGAGCCATGAGCATTCCACCACAGGTTATAATAAATAACGTGACTATTTCTGTGTTACCTGAAAAGATTCACGCTGATCTACATAATGAAACACTCTCCTCTCGTCTCTTTTTATATCCTTGGAGTGCGAGAGCCTTTTGGCACAAAACATCCTTTCTTGGCAGGTTGGAAGGTACCCAGCGCGTCGAGCGACTGCCACAGCTGAACCATAACCATGGGAGAGCAAGGCAGGGAAATTACCAGGGACGAAGTCCTTTCTGTGGCCAAAATTACAAGGATTGTGGGCAATGCATGGGAAGCAACGCTGAAAAAACTGCCCTCATCCCAACCAATTTGAAGCAAGGCATAAAAATAGCTGTTAATGATGAAGATGCCACTCAAGGGGCATCGGTACGTGGAAGCAACCTCTCATACAGACCCACTGGAGGGATCTTGGTGTGTAAATGAAATTTAGGACTTACCCTTTGCTCTTGGGTGGCCACAAAGGTCTGGAATCCAGGGGCCACCCCGAACCCGAGCTCCTGGACGAAAGGCGGCTCAGACTGGCTGTGGATCTGGACTTTAACTCCAGCCTCGAACGTCGTCTCCTCTGGAAGAAGAAGGGGGGAGATTAGCGGGCTGTGGTGGGTGGGGTGGTGTCCACCGGCGTGGGCATGTTTGTCCCTCTGTGGAAAACTATATCTGGTCAATCTCTGCTGCTCAAAAGCAGGAGATAAGCAGTCGGGAGTGCTCCACCTGGATGATCAGGCTTCTGGGCATCAAGGAAGGAGACCCAGCAGCAGCGTTTGCCATGAGCAGAGCACACCTGGGACTCAGCCCAAATCACCACTGCTGCCCATCGGGACCAAGGGCATCTCCAGGCTCCTGGTCCTTACACTGCTGCCTATCCCAGGGGCTCACCTTCCCTGTAACGCAGAGATGCATGATTTCTCCAGCTTGGCCCGTACTTCCAAGCTACAGGAAACAGGAGGTGACATCTACTTTCTAGCTGATAGTTACAGAATTTTAAATGCATTCCCATATTACTAAAACAAATAAACTCCTCCTTCCCCCAAACAGTCGTTTCTACTATCCGTACGGTCTCCAATGCCGAAAGCATGGGGGCACCCCATGTCCAACGCCCCATCTCTTGACGCAGCCTGAGGCCACTTGGGAGACAACGTAGGTAATTAAATAATGAAAAAAGTGTGTTAAATTCAAAGGAGCTCATGTTTTTGGCAGCTGAAGTTGCTCCAAGCCGGACAAAGGTATTGTGCAGCACATGGGCTCAGACACAGTACTGAGTTACGGGTGATGCGACGTTTCCACATCCCAAATCTGTGCTGAATACCAAGTAACTCGAGGTCAGTCCCCCTCTTCCACTAGAAGCTAAAACTAACTCGAAAGAGACTTTCTGAAGCAGAATTAATGGGATGCAAATCAGACCCGAGTGTGATATATGAGCACTTGGGCTCCTCTATCACACAGGCATCTTCACGCAGCTGGGGCACGTAACCTATCTCTCTTTAGCATTGCTGCTACGGTCTCACATCCCAACAAACTAGAGGGAGCATATGGGACTTAGGGGTGGGGGGGGTGATTTGCAAATGAAGTTGTTAACTGTGCATAATTTGGCCTAAAAACTGAGTTACCCACTAATACGAATCCATGCCTGTGGCCAGCAATGCCACGTCTACATCTGAAGAGCTTCTGTTTAAAGATGAGTCACTCTTTATTTTCTTTGCTTACTATTCCTTGGTATTTTTCTACTATTTTATGATGCATTTCAATTTTTAACAGCACTGTATTCAATCCGATGCATTGGAAACTCAGCACCAAGGAATCACAGCCACAGAGCTGTTACACCAAGGGCTGCAAAGATTTGCAGCGGGAGACAACAGCAGAAGACACCAGACCATGGGGTGATATGGGCAGAGGAGAAGGACAAGGGAAGAATAAGGTGATACTGGATGACATGAGGTTCCATGAGATCTCAGGAACCCATCGCTTAAGAGGATGCAACTCTGCTGACTGGATCGGGCAGCAAAGGGATCAGCCTTCCTCTCCCATGAGGACTTTCTTGAACCCTGCTCACTTGGTAGCTCCCAAGGCAAACGAAGCCAAAGACTGCACGGGTGGGAATGGGCTTATGCATGGATTTGTCAGGCTAAACGAGAACATCCACAGTGCTCAGATCTACCTCCTTTACAGCTAACCATCCTCCGAGGCTTCAACACTCAGTCACGGCCAAACCGATCAAGTGTTGGTCCAAGAAGGTTGGTCCAGAGACCTCCAGAAACCCCTGGCCAGACATGCTGCTGTCACCTTCATCCCCTACTGAGCAAACAAACCCTCCCCGCCAACCACAAACCAAAACACACATTTTGTTCAGCTTTTGGGAACAAACAACATTTAAAAAGCCCCACTCTGACAGCAAGGCTGGTTTACACGTTGGCTACGTGAAACTTCATGCTCTGCACCTGCAGTGACGTTGTCTACCAGCAGCATCTCCACATCTCAAGCATTTTATCTCAGCAGCCTTTACAGACCAGGCAGCTATTAATATTTCACATTTTAAAGCCCAGCTTTTCTATCTAAGGCACGGGAAAACCATTTGGAGACCCATTCCCTTGGGCCAGCGCCCACCAACTCCTCCAGTTTCAATCCCGATCCTGTTATCCCCCCGTGATGCCCACTCCTACCAATCCCACCTGGCTCCATCGCTTTGCCCGGTGTTGATCCCCTTCCAACACTTCAGAGGAGAAACCATATGCTTCCTTCAGTAATTACCTGACAAGTTGGAGGAGAACGCTTCTATTTAGTCTAACTTGTTGGGCAATGGGAACTGTTTTGTTGAAACATTTTCCATCTGAAATTATTCTGCCCATTTCTGCACCTGCCCCGGGTCCATTCAGCTCTGACTTAATTCCACGCATCTCCCATGGTTGGGTGCTGTGCCCCATCTGCGGATAAACCCCTGTACATCCACATCAAGAAAATCAGATACAGCCTGCAAGTATCCATAAGAGACTTAAAAGCGACAGGGTTTGTAATTTTAAATAGAAAATTCTGGCATGTAGCCATTTGCAATCACAGACGGGGAGGGGAAGGCATTTCTACGCCATAGAATAAACTTTGGTTTTAAAACACACAGTTATTAATTTTCATCATCGATAATAACAAGAAGAGTAAAATAAACAGCATTTTTTTAGAAAAGCTGCCAAAAGCCAGGCAGCATTCATTGTTTTTCCTGCAAAAAACACATGCGAGGATGAAACTATAAACATGAAACTGGCTTTGAAAAACTGTCATTTCTAAAAATTCGTTTTCTACAAAATGGCTGTTTTCTACTAAGAGAAAAATTAAAAGCCCAGCTACAAAACCCTTTGATGGAATATGCCTGGACCAGTCCCTCATTAGCTGCATCTTAAACGTTTCCAAGCTCCGTGCTGGGGCTGAGGAGCATTAGCGTGGGTTAAACATTTGCTGTAAGTATAAGGAAAAGGTCTCAGTGGACCCAGAAGCTCAAGACCGTCTGGTTTTGGGTGCATTTAGCTTGCTAAAATGAACGTCCCTGGGCAGAGCAAACCCAAAAAGGCTCTGCGGCAAACCCCGTCTGTCAGCCCGAGACTGGAGAGGTGCATCCAGGGCTGTGAACATCCACAGAGACACGTCCCGGCCATGGTTTTGCCAGTTTTTGCAGTTTTAGCATCATTTTGAATGGCTGCTTCTAGCGGTACCTCCTGGAGGCATGGGGCTGAGTGCCGGTCCAGGCTGTCGCTGCTATTTTATTAAGCCTGTTTCTTGTAATCACCCATCAACAGGGTGAAAAATAAGCCTGAAAACCCTTTGATTGGCTCAGATGCCAGAAAAACTTTAAAAATAAAGGGTTTTTTGGGGGATTTTTTTTTTTTTTAACAAACAAAACCCTGGGGTTTGGTTCGTACCTTACATTTTTTAAACTGATTTTGTGATGCTGGGAAGCACGGACCTTCATTCAATCTCCAATCCCACTTTTCGGAGGACAGGGCCTGTAAATTCATGCCTTAGTGCATCCCAGGTTGGGAATAGAGCAAAAACTCCTTGATGACTGCATTTTTAAATACATTAATATGCATTATTGTACACAGAACAGTGTTTCCAAACAAATCCTGAGCTGCTCTTTTCACTGAAGGATTAGAGTAGCGTTAATTAAATTGGGGATTAATTCAGCACGTGCTTCAAGCTGGCTGCAGAGTATTATATGTTGCAAATTGTACAGCTTTCTATTTCTGGCGTTGGCTTTCCATGACTTCGTCGGAGCTTTCTGCTTAGAGCATTGCTCAAAAAATCTTAATAAAGCTCCAGCTGACTGTACGCTCAGGTGCGGGCTACAAAGTTCATCCCTGTGAGTATGCAAGAAGCTGCAATTAAAATACGAAATGCTGCTAAAGGCACGGATCTACCCTTCTCCCCCTGCCTTATTATGTCCAAACTGATCCACTTCTCTCTGTCAACTAACATCTGAAGCTGTGCTCAGCGCTAATTTATTGGGAATTGAAGATACAGCCCGCGTCACGGGTTGTTTCTAGCTGGAGCCACCACCTGCCAGCTCTGCCGGTGGCACCGGCAGCTCCATGGAAGACACTCCTGCTTGGAGAAAACCAAAACAGATCCCACATGGCTCAATCTGAGCAAAGTAGATGATATTTTCTCGGCTGGTTCACATTGTGACTGTATCAGAAGGTGGCCTGAAGGTTTATTTTGGGTAATAAGCCTTCTCCTGCGCTGTGCAGAAGTAAGCACAGAGCTGGGAGGTTTGGTTTCTCCCCAGACACTTCTTGTCCTGTGCCTCAGTTTCCCCATGGAAGCCATGTTGCTGCTTAACTCATTGGGCTGGAAGAGTCACCTGTGCGTCTCCTACGCTCTGCAAAGCGCAATTCAACACCGTAGCGTATCACTGGGGCGCAAAGATGGGGACTGTCTCATGGGGACAGTATCCTCAAGGGGTACAGGCAGCACCAAGCACAACGTCTGGAAGGAAGCACAGATGTTCACCCCTGTGCCGGTTGCATTACATCTGTGAAGGGTATGTTGAGACCATGGTTTCTTGTCTCCCTCGGGGAGGAAGGCTCCCCAGGAGCAGGGGGGTTGCCGCGGCAGCACAGACGTGCCCAGAAGGTGCTGTGAGACATCGAGGTTCATCTCTAGTTTTTACGGCATCCTCTGCTCAGTATCGCCATGGAAACGATGCGCATCAGAGCAAGCGCTCCTCCACCTCCCGTGTCGGCCCCTAGGTGGGTTGGCATCCCTGGCACCGGGGCCGAGCGCCCCGAGTTGCTCTGGGTGTGCAAAATAGCATGGCCATGTCCCCGTTCTCACCAACCCAGTGATCCCCTAAATCCCTCCTGCATCCCTCCCGCACGCCTCCCGTTTAGCTCAGCAGCACGTGGGACCCGGCTGCGTGTCCTCAGGTTACCCGCCGGGGTCTGTGCCCGCAGCTCAGCACCGCCTGAGCACGTCGGGCTCATCGCACCAGTGGGGCAGCCGGGACCCACAGCAACCCAGCTGATGTGCCTTGTGGTCCTGGACTTGGGGAAGTCAACTGCCGCTTCAACCAGACTATATCTG